ATCAAATCTGTAAGGCCCATAACAACAAAAAAATCAGTCCCTTGTCCGACTTTCCTTACCTAGGTTCATCTGCAAAATTAACTACTTTCTACTCCTAGCTTTTTTTTCCTAACCAGAATAATATCCATATTGTGCTACCTCTTGCTTTAGCTGTTTTAGAGATTATGCATTGACTTTCAATTGTGATGAAGATTTCACTCCCAAATATTCCCGTTTCATAGACGATAGACAGATGGTCACACATTACAACCATGTGAGTTGCTTCCATATAGCAAAATGAAGTTCTGTACTGGTTGGACAAAGCTTCCTCAGTGCCCCGTCCAGGCCAACCTGTCCACTCCGGTTCCTGTCCTGGGACACCCGGGACTCCCCAGAACCCAGCAGCAGCTAAGGGGGCCCTTCAGGGCCCCACTCCAGTGCTTCGACCACTTTTCCATGCTGACTGCCCAGTGCCTGGTCTGGATCAATTGTTAATTTCCAACCTTCTTACCTTCCCAATACAATTGCCCCAATTTTTTGTTGAGTTCATATTTGAAGTGTTCATTGTTATGTCCATATAAATATTGTTCACTGTGGAGCCAATCTGTAACAATGATTACACTTTTTCCTTACACAGCTTTCTGCTTTTACTGCAATGAAAACATGACTGATTTTTTATTTGATTTCTTTTAACACTTGAATACTATATATGTTCCTTATACAATCTTTCAGGTAGATCAAACTATCGCTCATGCTGTCATATTTTATTCTCCTGAAAATATGTTTTTTGGAGATCTATGTATTTGTTTTCCAACCCGGTGTACCTGGACTCCCCCAGATCTGCTGAACTGTATTCTGTAACTTGAGTTTGCTGCTATCTTAAAGCCTCTCTTTTCTAGATCCTGTGGCTGCTTGTGTTTACCCTTTGTAGTAGAGCACATCCTCTAGAAGTAGCCTTCTAGATGCTTTTAAAGGTAATGTTTTCTCTTTTATATTTGGCATGTCTGAGAATGACTATTGGCTAACCTCACACTTGATTTACTAGGCTGAGAATAGAATCCTAGACTGCAAATCATTTATACTGAGAATTTCTATTGTATTGCCCCAGAGGCTTCTAGATTCAGGACTGTTGTTTAGTAGTTTGAAGCCATTCCAGTTCCCCTTTCTTTATAATCTTTTTCCCCTGGTGGAAGCTTTTAGGAACTTCTTTTTAACATTCCTGTGATAGGCTTTGGTGGGGGTGATTTTGTTTTGTTGTTTGTCTTTTGCTGAATCCTCAGTAGGTTTTGTCCATCTGGAGTCTTGGTATCCAGGAATATTTCTTGTATTATTTCTATTTCTTTACTCTTTTTAAATTGATATGCTTCACATAGAATATAATTCATCCATTTGAAGTGTATGGTCCAATGGGTTTTAGTATATTCACCAAGCAGCAGTCACCGCTATCAACTTTAGAGCATTTTCGTCACCCCCGAGGGAAAACCCTTGCACGTTGGTTAGCAGTCGCTTCCCATGCCTCCCGCTTTCTCCCTTCTTCCAGCCCTAGGCCGCTGCTAATCTATCTTCTGTTTCTATAGGCTTGCCTATCCTGGACATTTCATATAAATGGAGTCATACAATGACTAGTGTTTTGTGAATGACTTTTGTCACTTGGTGTGTTTTCAAGTTTCATCCACGTTGTAACAGGTACTGCTTTTTTTTTTTTTAATCTTTACCCAAGGATATTTATTATTGATTTGAGAGAGAAGAAACATTGTTGCCTCCTGTACACACCCCAACGGGGGATCAAACCCACCGCCTAGGCATGTGCTCCAACCGGGACCGCGGATCAAACCTGCGACCTTTTGGTATATAGGACAAGACTCCAATCAACTGAGCTACCTGGCCAGGGTGTACTATACTTCTCATTGACCAATACGATTCCACTGATTGGATATATCACATTTTATTTATCCATCCCTCAGTTGACAGATACTTGGATTGCTGCTACAAACATTCATGTATAAATTGTTGGATAGACATGTCTTCAACTCTCTTAGGATGAAAATGAATTAAATGGATTTCCACATCCTTTCCCCTACTTTGTTGATATTAATGGCTCCTCATCAGCACTTCTAAGGTCAAGAGTTGACCTGCCTATCCCTCCAGGTTCACCTGTAGCAAGTCTCTTTGGACAGGATCCACATATAGACTTACCTGGTGGTCCTCCAGTACACCATGCTCTCTCACAACCACCTGCTTTGCTAAATTCTCTTCACAGCTAAGAATCTTCCTCCCTGATTATTTGCCTAAAATATTCAAGACTGCTCAAATATCACCTCCTCTACAAACTCCCATGACTTCTCCCAAAGTTCCCTATGCAAACATCCAAAGAGCATCTGCTGCATCGTATGATCATTGTTCACACGCATTCTCCCTACTAGAATATGAGCTTCTTGAAGACAATGTTTATCCTGAGTGATCTCCTTTATCAAACCAATAAACAGTGCTTTATAGAATGCTCACTATAAACACTAAGTGCCAAATACTAAAGGTTTTACTATGAATTTATTTACTTCTTGTAATAACCCTGAGGTAGGAATTACCACCACCTCCATGTTACATGAGAAAACTGCAGCACAAAGAGGTTAAGGAACTTATCCGAGGCTATTTAATAATAGGAGAGGAGGTATCTGAACTCAGGTGATCTGGCTCAGAGACACCTTTCAACATCTCAGACTTTTGTACTGAAGAGGTGCCTAACGTGTATTTGTTGAATGAATGAATAAATGAGGGGGAAAACCAAGGCCTTCAAAAGAGGTCAAACAAACTCTGTCTTAGAGAGAGCTACATTTTAAAGCAAATAAAAAGTTAGTTTTACTAATTTTTTTCCCCTGTGTAATCCAATCCATAAAGACGCAAGGAAAGGTCTTGGGTACGATTTCTGTTGCCTAGTGTTATTAACCGGATGTTTGTGTCCCCTGAAAATTCCTATGTTGAAGCCGTAACCCCCAGTGTGGCTGTATTTGGAGACAGGGCCTCTAAGGAAGTGGATATGGTTAAATGACGTCATGTGGGTGGGTCCCTGGCCCAATACAAGTAATGTCTTTATAAGAGACATCAGCCACCTGCCAACAAAGAGCCCTCGCCAGAAACCAAATTTGCCGGCACCCTGATAATGGGCTTCAAGCCTACAGAACTTGAGAAATTAAATTTCTGTTGTTTTAGCCACCCAGTCTGTGGTATTTTGTTATAGCAACTCAAGCAGACTAATACAACTTCTAATGGCTGAAGTTTGGAAAGGATTTTCCTTCACTGATTTCAGAAACCAGCGGCTTCCACAGTGCTCTCTCCCCCTTTGACTGGGTTTGAACTTACGTTGTTTTTTGTCTGTCTGTTTTGGTTTTTGATGAAATGAAATCGTTAGGCTCCATCTGATCCAGCCTTCTTTTTACCATAGGGGGTCAATATTTAACTATTTTTTCCTTCAACATTTCCTACAACTATAGACTTTACTTTTCATCATCTTAGCTAGCTAGTTCTTGGCCTATGCAAAAATTCAATTTATCTTCCTAAAAAATATATATTACCAATATTATTACTGATACCATTGATGTTTATCTTATTTAATAATGCTAATATGTTGTCTTTCTAATGGTATTTCACTATGGAATGAAATTTGACCTTTCCAAGGGACTTCAAGTTTCAGCTGTCTGTCTGGGGGTTTTAAAATAGATCAAATATTTTTTTAAATTATAAAAATGTCCAAACAGGCAGAAGAGTAGAAAGAATATATCCATCACACAGATCCAACATTATCAAGCTTTTTGCTACATTTGCTTAAGATATTCCTTTTTCTTGTCTTTTTTCTTTGCTGACATATTTCAGAGCAAATCCAAGACATCAAGTCCATTAAACAATAGGTATCTTAATATGTATCACTTTAAAAGAGAAAACATTTTCTTTTATAATCACAATGCAATCATCCAATCTAGGAGAATTAATAATTCTTTTGTTTTCAGGCTTTTGGAGTGAAATAACTTATATACAATTTTATACTATGAAAAAGCTAGCGCTGCCTTAGAATAGCAAAATTCCATAGCCCTCAAAACAATTTTAAAATTAAATTTAGTCTGTTCCGAAATGCAAGGTGCTGACACCATCCAACTAAAGCTGAGCTCAAGAGTGCCTAAGACAACTCTTAAAAACACACAGTATATTGAGTGCTGGCCTACAAAGCAAAGGCTTGCTGGTTCAGTTCCCAGTCAGGGCACACGCCTGGGTTGTGGGCCAGGTCTCCAGCAGGGGATACACAAGAAGCAACCGCACACTGATGTTTCTTTCCCTCCCTTTCTCCCTCCCTTCTCCTCTAAAAATAAATAAATTAAATCTTAAAAAAAACCACACACAGTATCAAGACTTCAGTCACTGCACTGCACATTATTTTAATAAAAAACAAACTGCTTTACAAAAATATACAGATCTCAAATTGTAACGTCAAAATACGACTGCAATAAAAAGGTTTATGTAAGTTCTCATTGAGACAGGCTTTCTGTCACATTCTGACATTTACAATTATTAAGACATAATGAACACAAGAAGTACAGATTTTCCAACCTCATGATTAGTAAACTCCGTTACAAATGAATGAAGGTATAGTCATCAAAAGAGGAAGGTGGCAAGTTAGACAGCCCTGGCTATATTACACTAATTGAGTAAGAGACTCAATAAGAGCTTTAAGAAACTGTAGTTAAATGTTAAAAGTATGGGCACTATAGCTTTCACAGACTTCTACCAATGATTATATCCTTGATATATAAACATCCTTAAATATAAAATAGTTCAGTATGATTGCATCTATATTTGTTCCACAGGACAATTTGTTAATTATTTTGATATATTTTTCAACTGGAATCATGTACAAAGAAATAATGAGAAACCCATAAAAAAAAGAAAGAAAAGAAAAACAAAACTATTTTTCCCAAATCAAATTATGTTTAAAAGTTAAAAAGTCTATGGAAAATCAAAATGTGGGCAAAAAATATTGGCTACTTGCTAATTTTTATTTGAGAGAAAGTCTTGTGCAAATAATAGTTGTCTTGTCTTCTAACAAAACAAAAACAAAACCCCAAAATTAATCCCACAGGTCCAAATTAGCTAAACTGGAGTGACAAAGTCAAAGTTAGTCTTGTCATTTGTACATTAATTTGATAAAACAAATTGCACTGAAAACAACAAAAACGCCCCCCAAAATCCTGCATGTGTTCTTGTGCAGATTCCTTTCAGCACATAAATAAAGACGGTTGTTACACAGCTCTTCTTTTAAGAATGCAGTACATCCAGAAAACCTAACAGAGTATGTTACTCACAAAATTCCATAAAAGCTGTAAGGCAGCCAAGCGCTGATGGCATCAAGGGCTGCAAGAGATTGCACCATTCACACCCACTGATGGGCTTTGTGCCAACATTTTAAACTATGCTTTTCTTCACTATAAACTACCGAGGAAAGAAATACAATATTACATCATATCCCAGAACAGAGCAACTACATTTGTATAAAGAAATCACTAGTTAAAGAGTTACGTTGTTGTTTTAAATGAAGTCCTGTCTAGGCACCTGACTTTAATCTAAAAGTTGATAGTGCTAATTTCAACTCCCAGGGTAAACAAAACCAGTTTATGTATCAAGATTAATTTTCTTTGGCTGCAATGGATACCATTTTCTCTGAGGGCAGTCTTTAGTTTGCTTTCTTTTCAGTACCATGTTAGTAGTTTCCCTGGTAGAAGTCTCTGTTGGTGTGGTTTCTATTTGTGTTATAAAGCTCTCAGATTTAACATCTGGCTTCCTGTAACAATTGGAAAAGACTTCTTGGTGGATTCTTTGGAGCTGAATAATAGGCTGCATCTTTAACACTTCGGAAAATCCGTCTCCTTGTTCAATTAGTGCAGGCAAGGACTTAAAAATAAACAAACAGTAATGCTCAACATTAATCTCAGGCTGAAACACAAACACACAGGGACAAACACAACACTCTAGAATTTTAATTCTTCAGGTCAAAACTGTTTCTAAGACCTAATTTCTGGGGTGGCAGATATTCAACCTGACCTTAAAATACAAGTTTTAGGAATTTTAACTAAAAACTGAGACTAAAAAAATATGTTCCATTCCTATAAATGCCTGGTAGTAAAAATAAAACTTCAGCAGAACAGGAAGTAACAGGATTTCAGAGCTAATGATTTAATGTCTGAAAATCCACATTTTAGGATAATAAGTATTTTAGAAATCTTAATCATGAACAAGGATCAGCACATTTTTTTCTGTACAGGGCCATATAATAAATATTTTAGGACCTGGGGGGCTTATATCATCTCTGTAACAATTATTCAGTTCTTTCATTGTAATGTAAAGAAGCCATAGACAATAGACAATAAATAAATGAATAGATATGGCTGCATTCCAATGAAATTTTATTAACAAAAATAGGTGGTAGGCTGGATTTTAGCCTGGCCTATCCTAGTTTGTCAACTCTTGATCAGGAACACACTGTGAGAAAATCATGGAATCAATACAAACCACACAAGAACGTTATAAAAATTTTAAGAACAGGGGAGATTATAAAGAAGTTTGAAAGTAATTTTCATATATTAGAAATAAGTGTTTTTCTGTTTATATAAAATAATGTCAAAAATATAAACAATTTTGTTATAATAAAACTCCAATTTGATATGCTGTATAATGTAGTGGTTAAGAGCATAGGCTCTGGAGCCAAACAACCAGGGTTTAAATCCTGGCTGGATGACTTATTTGGGCAATCTAATTAGCCTCTCTGTGCCTCAGTTTTCTCATCTGTAAAATAGGGTAATAGCAATACCTATCTCATAGGGTTACTGGAAGGATTAGATGAGATAATATATGTAAAGCAGTTAGATGGTACCTGAGCCATACTAAATGCTCACTAAATATTAGCTGGTATTCGAATCTAAAATTGTTTGCTGGACTGCTAACTCTAAGAACTCAAAAATATAACCAACCTTTAAAGAGGCCAGGTATACTACTGGCACATAGCAGGTACCTAATAAATGGTGTTATTCTGAATGTTACTGTTGCTTAATTAATTCATTAAAGATCTATTTTAAAAACTACTAAGAATTCCTATTACAACAGGCTAAAACACATGTGGTTGTTCAAAGCAAATGCCTAGCTACACACTTTGTTCACTTTATAATTTTTTAGCATGTTGCTTTTACCTTCATGGCTTGACTGATTTCCTTAGCTATTGTTTCTCCTCTGCATTTCAAATTTTCCACACGAGAGACTGCAAAGAAACCACCAAACAGTATTTTAGGTTTCTAAAAATCTAACAGCAAGTCGTAAGACACGCAGACGCATTCTAGGTAAACATCCGTCAGGGCTGCTCCCCTTGGCTCGGCCTTTCTCAGAGTAGTTTGTAACCTACTAAAACAAGTGTCCTATTAAATTTAACTAGGTATATAAAAAGACTATGAAAATACTAGAATACTAGAGTAAAATGAGAAGTTACAAACCTAAGATGATAGACAACAAGAGTTGTGTTGAGTAGTCTTAACACTGTGTGCCCCCAGAAGAAAGCCTGCTTGTTCTATGTTATCTACCACTACATTTAACAACTTCAAGCACTATCCTCACATTTTAAAATAAACACAGGCTAATATTTGATATTTGTATGATTCTGAATTTTGTAAAACATATTTGGACTTCGAATTTGTAATCGCACTGCATCAAAAATACCTGAATGACCCCTGGCTGGTATGGCTCAGTGGACTGAGCATCAGCCTGCGAACGGCTGGTTTGATTCCCAGTGTACGGCCCATGCCTGGGTTGCGGGCCAGGTCCCCAGTTGGAGGCGTGCGAGAGGCAACTGATTGATGTTCTCTCACACTTCTCTCTTTCTCCCTCCCTTCTTCTCTCTCTAAAAAATAAGTAAATTCAATCTTTTTTAAAAAATACCTAAATGAAATTTCTGGAATAGACTGTCAGTAGTATTAATTTTTCTTTCCTTACTTCCTTGATACTTTTCTCTTTTTTAAAGATTTTATTTATTTATTTTTAGAGAGAGGGGAAGGGAGGGAGAAACATCAATGTGTGGTTGCCTCTTGAGTGCCCCCTACTGATCACCTGGCCTGCAACCCAGGCATGTGCCCTGACTGGGAATTGAACTGGCGACCCTTTGGTTTGCAGGCTGGTGCTCAATTCACTGAGCCACACCAGCCAGGGCCCTTGATGCTTTTCTAATTCCAAATACATTTATTTATTTTTTTATTATTTTCTTTTAATCTTTGTTGTACATGTTCATGGCTACTTCATAACAGAACTGCATATTCAATGATAAAGGAATAAAAATCCTACTAAAACTCCAAGAGAAATTTGAAATGTGAAAAATCATATTATGAAACTGTCTACAAATTAGTTTTTAGAAAAGTAGTTCTAATCATTAGAAATTACTTAAACTCTAAGCAAGTACATGACTATGTTAGGAAGACTGCTGCTTTATCAGTTTCGAGAGGCTGGCAAATAAGCCAATAATTGCTTTCACAGCTGCTGTTTTTCTTTTCTGACTTTCTTTAGCTAAAAAAAGGGAAACCAGTTTTAGAAAATAAGAAAATCAATAGAAAAAGCAACTTCCTCTAGAGAGGAAGAAGGCACTCAAAGGAGAAAGGCAAAGCTAACATCGTGGCCTCAAGAAAGGGTTCTTAACCATTTCTGTTACCAGAAATTTCTTTGGAAATTTGGTGAAGCCTATAGTCTCCTTCTCAGAATATTTTTTAATGTATTTGTTTTTTTAATTGAGGTATAATTTACATATAGTGAAGTGTATATCTTAAGGTTAACATTCAATCACCTTTCACAAATACATACCAGGACACAGACATTTCCATCACTCTAGAAAGTTCTCTTGTTCCCCTTTCTCAGTCAATTTTGTCCATAAGAAAAAACCATTCATGTGATTTCTATCATTATACATTATTAGTTTTGCTTACTCTAGAATGTCAGAATGTTTTAAAATAAAATTTAAAAATACAATTATTTAAAAATTGTAGAAGTAATATATGTGTCCATTTATTAATGATTTAAATAACAGCACTGAGTAGCAGGTCTAATATTTACCATAATATGAAAATAATGAGCATAAACAATATTGTGAGGTATCTGGAACAATGGAAATTGAAAATATCTGTGGCTTCTAGTAGCAAAAAAAAGCTACAGGTACTATAACTTCTGGCTAGTGCTGCCACCATTTCCTGCATTCAAAATGGAAGTGCTAAATTTCACTTTGAGGTTAGTAAAAAAAATATATATATATAATTTTTTTGCTATACAAGCCCATAGTCCCCCTATATTCTAAGAATTATATTTATGTACATATGAAAATTTAATGGGCATATTATTTGAAAATATAACATACTGTTTAAAAATAAGTTTATCCTATGTTTCCCAACTATGCAGACTCAGCATATGTGCAGCAAGGTGGCAGTGTGTGTGGAGATCAATTCATCAAGCCGTGCATTGCATGTTATATCCCAATATATACATGCATACAGACAATAATGAATGAAATCTTTTAAAATATTTACTCTAGAAAGTTTCTTACTTTTATGTATAGAACAAGGCAATCATATTCATTGTTATTGCATGATTTACAAAGTAACCTATCATCCAAGATCTCCTTAATTTTTTATAAGTATGTGCTACTTTTAAAAAAAGTCTCTATAAACCCACACTGATGGACAACAGTAGCTGTTCTCTACCTGCTGCACAAGCAATGACAATGTAAAAAGTGCCAGGAGTAGTTTGGGTTTGTGTATAAAAAGGAGTTAGGCCCCAGGCTTTGATAATTATAAAGATATTTTCACGCGTGAATGTCTGGTGGAATATTCTAAAGTTGTGCTGGACACATAAGACATTGAGTATTACTGTCTTGTGACTACAAAATGTCAGGTGTACCCTCCCACTTCTCTGGTTAACCAAAAACCTTTCAACTCCCACTTTTTCAAAAGGGCCACTAGAGGGCAGTACTGCCCCCCCAGTGAGAACCAAGGTGTTATTTATCTTTCCGAATTTCCTTGGGAAGCAGCTCATTCTCTTAACCTTGAACTCCCTAGTGTCGAACACAATGCCTGACATGTAGAGCAGGTGCTGCATAGGTCTGATAAACATGGCTATGATAGAGGGTGCTGTGGAGGCACAAAGGAGGGAGAGGTCAATCCAACAGGGGAACTGAAAGGAGAGCAGAAGCTTCACAGGTGTTATATAAAGTTGCCTTAAAAGGATTTGGTGCTGAAGGCTGGGGAGGGGAGCAGGGGGGCATAAGAGGTGGGGTGGTAGAGGAAGTGCTATACCAAAACAAGGGAATAAATCAAGAAAGAAGAAAACACAGGAACCCGGAAACATGGTTCCAAACAGAAGAGAAGGAAAGGAAATTCCCAAGGCAATGAGGAAAGGAGCAGACAGGGTATGAACCTTGCACCAGGCCTAGAGAGCAGCCAGCCCAGACCACAACAGGAAGACAAAAGGCTCCCAGGGGAACATCTCAAGGAAAGGAAAAGGTTTTACAAATGGATTTGATGGATAACCTGAAGTGTTTACCATAGTGAGAGGAATTTTACAGTTCTACTGAACTGCTTGGGAAAGAATTATTGACAGGCACAACAGCAAACAGAAAACAAAAGCAATTATCAATCCAAATATTAATACTAAATACTATTTTTTGACAAAGTGAGAGATTAAAAGTGAGGCTAATGAGTATAGATTATTCTTTTGAGAAACTTGGTTATGGAAAGAAAAAGTTCAGAGAAGAAAAACACAATGGCATGAAAACTTGCCCTCCTTGATTCGGACAGCCCATTCCTATGGCAGTATGAGCTGGCGTTCCTTGCCAATCAATCTGATGTAACAGCTTTAGGAACCTTGTGAGGCAACCAGGTTTCATCAGCCTCCTTTTATAGATAAGGAAACAAGCTGTGAGAGCTGAAAAATGTACCAGAACCAAAGAGGTAGAACCACACTTCCCAGATTCCCAAGCACTTGCTCTTCTATATTCTGTAGGTAGTTTTCCAAAATATCACTTTGCCAAAAATTATACTAAACTCATAGGAATGAGTTAAAAATGGTCAAAAATCAGCTCCAACATAATGAAAACCTCTTGAAATAAAAATAGATTATGCCTCGTACAGAATTAAAAATAGAACAATTGTATAATTAAATCTATTTTAACTATTCATGTTATAGTACCTTTAAGTTAAGCGAATTCCTTTCATTGAAAACTAAAAAGAATCAATAATTTTAGGAATAAAACCAAACACACAAAGATTAAAAAAAAAACAGGCAAAGAGGAGAAAAGTAAATGTGTGACTATGTTATCTGTAAATGCATCATAAAAGCATTTTCCAACATTAACATCTGCTAAGGGAATTTCAAAATATATAAACTTTTTACCACTCTCTCAAGATTATTTCTGTAACTAGTAAGAGCACATAGGTACTGCTGACACATGAACATGGGACTGAAGACCATTTCGCATGCTGGTGGCTGGTCCTTCCGGGCAGGAGGTGGAGGGCACTTCATCCAGACCCACTCCCAGCAGCTTTCTCTCCATAACCTTCACGGGAGCATCTTCACGGCGCTGCTATCCACCCTCTCATCATGGACAAAGGTGTTTAGGGATCCAAACTATTCTCTCAAATCCTATTTAAACAACATGTAGTAGAGCTAAGGTGCATCTGAAATGTGATTTTCCTAATATTTTTCACAATAAACACTTAGTAGTTCAGCTAGATTATAGGATAAATAGGACTTTAAAGGGAAGCCTAGAAACTTACCCACTTACAATACCATTAGTAAATGTTTTTCAGTGGGAAATGCATTTCAAATTCCAAAGCTCAGATTAAATATGAATTCTGGAAACATAGCCATTTGTAAGTGGGTGGCTACCTGTAAAAATGCTGTCCATGGCTTAAACAACTTATTAGGCAAGAAGAGGAACTGACTCTTAAGTCCTCTGTTTGTAGGGTCAGCAAAAGAATTGGAAGTATCATCAAGTCTACTGTAGAGAAACTCAAAACAGCTCCTTGTCACCACTGCATACTTAGTAAAGGACAGGGAAAAGAAGGGAATCTCTTCAAAGAATTTCAAAGAATATTTTTAAAAAGATAATATGCAAGCAATTATCAGTTTTATTAACAGGATCACAAAAGACTCAAAGTTCATTTTATTGGTAGACAGCTCATCAGAAGATTGATGCAAGGATATTAAAAATAAAGTTTGCTCTTAAAAATGTGG